AAAAAAAAAGACAGTTTTTCCCAAGAGGTAAATATTTTGATACCATCTATTATCACATAAAATCAGTCATTTACTATAGGAAAAAGATTAGAAGGAAACACACTAAAACATTAATCCCATCACACCTGGCAAACATTAAGGGTAACAAAGAGTTCCATCTCTTTCTCAATATTTCTTCAACTTTATTATGGTCAAGTTTTTCTAGCATCTCTAAGCCAGATAACTAAAGCAGCATTATTTGGAAGTAATTAACAATAAATAAGCACAAGAAAAAAATAATCAAATACTAAAGAGTCAACTAAAAATTCTTTCAAGAAATTGATTTTAAAACCAGAACAGAACCATACTGTAATAAAATTGAAAAACGTTTAACTTTTGGAATGCAAGGTTAACCTAAATTTTTTTCCTTTTACTCCTACAATTGAACATTCACACTTACTATAATGCAATTACAAAATCAAACACTAAGTACCAAATGCCAAAGTATTTAACAATAACTAAAAGCTTATAGGTAAGTACTCAAGTCCTCAAAAACTTTAACGGCTTTTACACAAGCAATCAGGTAAGAAAAACAGGTCTTTATTATTTACTTTCTATCAATTAGTGATCAGCTTTATTTAGTAATTCCAATACCCATATAATAGGCAGTAATATGTACCTTGGACCTGCAGACATGACTGGACAACTTGTTTCAGTGCAGAATTCTGTAATAGTTCCATATAACATGTTGATCTGGTTGAAGAAATCCACAGCTGGAAAGATAAAAGCAGATTTGTATTAAAATGTCTGTAGAAACACAACAAAACATCAGCTCTCTCAGTTGAAGGGTAAATATTCGGTTGTCGGAAAAGTTATGACGTATTTTTTCTATGTTTTTCATTGCAAAAATGCGTTATGACTTTTCTGACAACCCAATATATAATGCATTCCAAATCTTGGCCGAATCTTTGGGAGATCCAACAATCCAGAGAGAGATACTGTAAATTCTCTTCTCTTTGCAAGTTCTCATACCTAAGTGAAGTTAACTTTCAATATACTAAGCTTTTAACCAGCATATTACAGCAGAAAAATAAAAATTAGATACTTCTAACTTAATGGTAACTATTATATCATTAGTGAATGATTACATCCAAGGGAATGAAAAAAATCTATAACTTCTTATCAACCTGGACTAAACAATACCATTTGTTACAAAAGTGTTACAGAATATATTGTGAGGGAGGCGGTATATCAGCTATTAATACGCATTTAAAAAATCTAATTCATCATAAAAAATTGAGGCCTAATGAATATTAAGGATATAAAAAAGACACGGGATAATGTTCCTTGCCCTGGAGTCTCAAGCTAACAGAAGGGACAAAATTATAAGAGATGAGTAATACAACACATGAGAAGGTAGTTATCCAAAGGCCAACAATAAGTGTGAGAGTTCAGAGAAAAGGCACCAACATATTGAAGAGGTTCCCAGGGAGTACTTCCTAAAAGAGCTTCAGCTAGGTCTGGAAGAAAATGGAAGAGGAAGGGGATGAATGAAACAAACTCTGTGCGAAGAGAATGACATAAGCCTTAAAACCACACAAGTTTTCTAAAATGTTTTAGTTCCCTGTCTAAAAAGGAGTACCTAAAAATCCACTAGGGCTTCTCCAAGTTTCTTAAAATAAGATTAAAAAGTTCTATTTGTCAAAAGAAATTTTGTACAAAACTCCCTTTTATAAACCTTTCTCTTAGTCATGTTTCTAAAAAAGTAATACTAAGCACTCAATATTGATTGAAAACAAAGAGTATGCCCAGATGGTGTGCTAGCTTATTGGTCTAAAGCAGCTATTCTCCAAATGTGGTCTAGGGATTCCCTGTTTCAGGGGGGAATCTGTGAGGCTGGAATTTTATTTTAATTGCTCCATTCACTCTCCTTCTCTCAGGAGGCACGGTGGAGTTCTCCAGTGGCTCCCTGATGTGTGACATTACAACAGACTGCATGCAGAAGCAGACCTGACAATCCAGCTGCCTCCCATCAAGCCAGACTTTAAGATTTGCAAACATGTAAAAACAATGCCATACTTCTCACTAAAATTTATTTTGGAAAATAATGATTTTTCATTAAAAAATATGTTGACAGATACTGGGTATATTACTGCAATTTTTAGATGAATTTAAAAATAAGTATTATAGTATTTGAGGAAGTTTTCTGAACACCTACAACTTATACCTTCAAGAGCTGCCTTTTTTCTTTTAACCAATTAAATAATATTATTTCAAAAAAATCAGCAGTATTTCAAATTTCTCAGTCTTAATTTCTAACACAGTAAGTCACACTAGACATAACCTACATAATTAAAAGCTCTTTGGGGTTCTCAATAATTTTTAAGAGAATAAAGGGATCCTGAGACCAAAAGAATTGAAACAGCTGATCTAGAGCAGTAAGTCTCAAAGAAAAACCTAAGGCTAAAGAAGGCCAACAGATGCCTTCAGAATAAATGATAATTTGTGTAAGGTTAAAAAAAAAAAAAGGTTCTTTTCTGAATATATAATAGTTCGCATGGTTCACGTATCAAAATATATAGAAATATTCAGTCAAAAAAATCTGAATTCCAATCACTCCAAATCCCTCCTACACACAGGTCACTACTAGATTACTTTTTTGTCTCCTGCCCCCGTAAGTTTCCTTATCCTGTCTTACACAAAAAATAACATCTTACATAGTTCTACACCTTGTTTTTTTCTCTTAGTAACATGCACAATGGCTTTTTAGTGAGTTGAGAAAAACAAAATTGTTCTTATTGTGGCTACTAGAAAATTTTAAATTACACTTGTAGCTTACACATTATATTTCTATCAGTGCTGATCAAGGCAACAATTATCAATAGCTGATTAATACCACATAAAAAGGCAACTAGACACTATGTTAGTATCTACCTACACTATTGGAAGTATATACCACCACCTATGAAGTAGTTTTACAAACAAACAAAATCAAATCTGACGGATCCAAGCTCTAGATCTGCGCTAACATGGTAGCCACTAGCCACAAATGGCTACTTATATTAACATGAAACTGAATTTAAAATTCAGTTCTACAGTTCTGCAGTCACACTCGCCACATTTCAAGTGCCAAAATGGCCAGTGCAGATATGGAACATTTGCATCGTCACAGAGAGTTCTACTGGACAGTGCTGCTCCAGCTCTAACATTTACAGGAAATAAAAGGAGGAAGAGAACATCATAATGCATGCCATGGGGATACGATCGACAAAATACACACTGTGGAAAACAAATGAACTAGTTTCTTCAAGAACGACAAAACAGCAAGGAAAAAAAGACTATAATGAGGGGAAACCCAGAAATTAAGATTTAAGAAACATATGTACTGGATTCCTGGATCCTGATTTCAACCAACCATACATTTAAAAAAAAAAAAAAATTTTATAGGGCAACCGGGGGAAATGTGAACACTGACTGAATATTTGATAACATAAAGGAATGATGGTATTGTAATTATCTTTAAAAGGGGAGCTACCTTTTAGAGATACTAAAATATTTATAGATAAAGTATGTCTAGGATTTACTACTAAAGAATCAGGGTGAAGAAAAAAAAATCAGAGTGAGATATATAGAAGAATCATGAATTGGCCATGAATTGATAATTATTGGAGCTGGATAATGGATACCTGGGAATTCACTATACAAGTTTCTGTACTTTTGTATGTTTGAAACTTTCCTTTAAAAATTCCAGGGCCAGCCAAGTGGCACGTTGGTTAAGAGCTGGCTTGGGATGCCAGAGGGCCCCGGTTCGGATCCCACATATGAGGGCCAGTGACACTGCCCTCTACAGCTAAGACGCTGAACAACAGCTCAACCTGGAGCTGGGCTGCCTGAGTCACCACCGGCGAAGGCTTAGGCTGCAGCCCCTGCTGCAGTGGGTTGCCAGGTTGCCATGGACTACTGTGTGTAGCCAGCAGCCAGCGTGAGCGGCCGTCCAGAAGCCGGCGACTGATCTGCCTCGCCCAGGAAGAGCGCAATGATGGTGCCAACTTGGGCCAGTGAAGCAACGTCCTCCACAACTAGACTGAAGAAAAAAAGGACATCAACTCGTCTGTTCCCCTTCCCCCAATTCTCCAATAAAAATCTTTAAAAAAAAAAAAGTGCGTGAGCTCTGAGCAACAGGGTCGCCGGTTCGATTCCTGGCCCGAGCTGAGCGGCCAACAGGTGTCAAGTTGGCTCAGCTAAAAAAAAAAAAAAAAAGTTTTAAAAATTCTGGAACATCTGAAATTCTTACTAGATTTAAACCTTATCACCCAGAACTGATCTCATCTCAGAAATTATATAATTCAAATCTCTAGCCTCAGCATATCCTTCCATGTCATGCTCTTGCCGCCTTCTTGAACTCAGAGTGACTTTCAGCTCATCGGTCCCTCCATTTTCTTCCAATCTCTCAATCTCCTAGGACTATTCTTAACTCACAACAATCAAGTGACTGATGATACAAACTGCAATTAACTTTTCTGTGTACACAGGTAGATGACAGCTGCTGGGAGTGGGAGCACAACTATACAGGTGGATTCCCTACAGTCATGGTCCACCACAGATAGCATCTTTGCATTTACCAATCTTTTATTTGACCCTACTCAGCCTCATTCTCCCTAGAAATTACCCAAAGTAGTCCATCATTTCTCCTCAGGTCTCTCTACTCAACCACAAAAGTTACAACCAAGTACTCTGAAGAGAACTACAGTTTTGGGTGCATTTGTACTTATGCACTCCTTTACAGATACTCTCTATATTACAACCATTATACATGTAAAATAAAATTCATTTAAAAAAAAAAAGATTTTAGGAAAAACCTTCTATAAACCAGCGAAGTTGAACGTTATTAAAAACTTACTGTTAACGGCAATCCATTCATTGAGATCCTCTCCCTCTGGCAACATAACAGCTTGTCTCAGATTCCCACTTCCTAGAGTTGCCTCTGCATGTTTTAAGAGTTCATACTGATGAGACCCTTCAGGGATATTCTTCTTTGGTTTGAATGTTTTAGAAGAGCGGCTGCTGCTATTAGGGTAAAAGAAAAAGTATATCAATTTTTAGGAATAGAAGCAAAATGGCAAAATTTTAGGCATGTAAACTGCTCTGTAAAATAAAATAAAAAATACTGCCTGAAAAGTGACAGGATTGGTAGTGCTTATTGTGGTGGGGGATCACAATGAAAGAATGCTTTAAATTTCTTTACTCACATAGAAACAGGATTAGCAGCACAATTTCACATAGAAGGCAATTTAACGATGTCTCATGAAACAGCCTGGTGTAATAGAAAGGGCACTTCAACCAAAAGAAGAAAAACACCTGGATTCTAGTCCTTGATCTGCCACTATCTCTGTGACTGCGTGAGAAACCTAACCTCCTTTTGGCCTCAATTTCCACCTATAGAAAATGGTGCTCGGAGGGAGGTAGCCCTATGGTTCACATAGCTCAAAAATCCAATTTCTTTATTAAAATACTTGGGATGCCATCAAAGCAAACCACAGCGGAAGTAACACATTTTGGTTTTCAGCAGGAAAAATAAATGAGAGACAACTGGTTATTGGGGAAAAAAATAAGTTTTTATTCCTATCTCACACCGTCTATAAGGAAGGTCTTCCTAATATGACACAAAACCCAGAAACCTTAAAAGACAAGTAACAACAAAAAATACTAGCAACACATATTACAAAGGATAAACTAGATAATGGGCTGAATAATAAAATATAATCTGTTAAGAAAAAGGTAAGGAACCCTTTAGAAAAATGGGCTAAGGAGATGAATAGGCAATTCAGAAGAAAAAATACAATGACCAATGAACATGTGAAAAGCTGTTTAATTAAAGTAAGATTTATTTTTCCTTAATCTGAGTCAAAAATTAAAACCACTTAATTACATTAAATGTGGTATAGAGAAATTAGTACTTTAATACACTATTGGTGAAAGTGTAAAGTGTTTGGGGGAGGGCAATATGGCAGTGTATGTTAACACTGAAATGCTCCTCAATCTATCCCTTCCACTTCTGGGTATCTCTCTTAAGATATGGACAAGGATGCGTTTTCCAAGGTTGTTTTTAACGGTAAAACACCTGGAAACAATCTTAAGGTTTATTAAAAGAATGAATAAAACTATGATACATCCGCATCATAGAGTACTGTATAATAGTTAAGAACAAGATACAAGAACAAGATGGAGCTATATGTATTCACATGGAAAGATCTCAAGACATGTTTATACACAAATCCAAATGTACAGCAGGAGCCCATTTTGTAATGCATTGAAAGTGTCAGAATGGATAAACATCAAATTGATACTGGTGACTACTTCTAAGAAGGGGAAGGGAACAAAAACTGCGGGCTTTCACTTTATCTGAGTAATTTAAATTTTAAATAACACTGATTAAGAAGTAAAAATTAATTACAAAAGCACTAAAAATCAAATATGGAAAATTTTTAACATGCTAAATACCTACATTTAATAAGGAAGTACTAAGGGCCAGCTGAGTGGCTCAGTTGGTTAAGAGCTCGCTCAAGAGTTTGAGCTCTGAGCAACAGTTCGATTCCTGGCCGGAGCTGAGCAGCCGCTGAGCTACCAACAGGTGGCAGGATGGCTCAGCTTAAAAATAAATAAATAAATAAATAAATAAATAAATAAATAAATAAATAAATAAATAAGGAAGTACTAAATTAGAAGGCATGGCCCTTCACAAATAGAAAGCTACGAATGACAGGAAGCTAAATATGGAAAACTTACAGAATGCTCATGATTCAATATGATCTTCATCTAAATTAAGACGTTTGTATTTGAAATGGCACTATCAAGACAATGAAAACAAAAACAAAACAAAAAATAATAATAAAAATATAAAGAATAAAAAGACAGTGAAAACAAGCCACAAAATAGCAGAAAAATATTTGCAAATCATAGATGTTATAATGGACTTGTATCCAGGATAAAGAATTGTTACAACTCAAAAACAAAAAGACTCAACATAATTTAAAAATGGTCCAAGGTTGTAACTATAATTAAAAATAAAAATGGTCAAAAGACTTAAAGACATTACTCCAAAGAAAATACACAAATGACCAATAAGCACCCAAAGATGTTCAACCTTCTCAGTCATTAGGGAACCACAAATTCAAATCACAATGAGATACCATTTCACATCCACTAGGATGACTACAATCCAAGATAACTAACAAATGCTAGCAAGGGTGTATGGAAAATGAAACTCATACAGTGCTGGTGGGAATGCAAAATGGTGCAGTGATTTCAAAAAGTTTGGCAGTTTCTCAAAAGGTTAAACATAGTTGCCATGTAACTCAGCAATTCCATTTCTAGGTATTTACCTAAGAGAAATGAACACATACATCCAAAACAAAAATCTGTAGTACACAAAGGTTCACAGCAGCATTATTCATAAAAGCCAAAAAGTGGAAACTGAAATGTCCATCAACAAAACAAAGTTTAAAACAAATAAAGAGCCTTACATTAGCAACTGTGCATCCACAAATAAACCACTAACATGAACTCATAAGACTTGGGGGACCGGGAAGATTGTAGTAATATAGAAATTTGTAATTAAAATCTAAATCATACAGACTTTCTGACATGCTAATCATACTGTGGAGACTATATCCTTAAAAAACAGAAATCAAAAGAAGGGAAAAAGCAATTTGGACAAAGATATTCCCAGTAGTGCTATTTTATAATAGCGAAAGAATCCAAATTTCTCACAATAAGGAATTAGGAAGACAAACTCTAGTTATGAAACACTGTGTAACTTAATAACATTTAACAAAAATGTCAAGTATGTGGGTGATGTCCGTAACTTTTTAAAAATGGTATTTATCCAACCATACTACACATATTTAAGCAATTACGTAGAGAGCTCCACCTGAAATAATGTGCTAGAGCAGCGGTTCTCAACCTGTGGGTCGCGACCCCTTCGGGGGTCGAACGACCCTTTCACAGGAGTCGCCTAAGACCATCGGAAAACACATATTTTCGATGGTCTTAGGAACAGAGACACCGCTCCTCTATCCGTCTCCATGCTTCAAGACAAAACTTCATTTATTTGTAATTAGAAATAAATATTTCACAATATATAATTACATATTGTTGTTGTGATTAATCACTATGCTTTAATTATGTTCAATTTGTAACAATGAAAATACATCCTGCATATCAGATATTTACAATTCATAACAGTAGCAAAATTAG